CTCCCCAAAAGCCGAGGAGGGGGGCCAAGGCACCGGCCCAGGCGCCGGCCAAGGCACCGTCCCAGGCGCCGGCCAAGGCGCAGGCCAAAGTGCCGGCCAAGACGGGGCCTAAAACGGCGCCGAGGAGCGGAGTGGCATTCCCTCCGCTCCCCACTCCGACACCCCTGCCGGGCCCCTCCGCACCTGCCCCCTCCAACGAGGGCTGGCAGGAGGCGAGGGGCTCCAAGAAGTCCCGAAGGCGGGCCAGAAGGGCTGCCCAAAAAGCAGCCCAAGCCCAGCCTTCGCCACCGGTGGCAACGGCCTCTGCAAAGAGGCCGCGGAAGCTGCAGCCGCCCAAAACCGCGGCTGTAGTGGTGACCGTGTCCCCGGAGGCGGCTGACGGCGGGTTGTCCTACGCGGCCGTTTTTAAAAAGGCCCGGGACAGCCTCGCCAACGACTTCGGGACGGTGGGGGTCAGGATGCGCCTCGCCCAAACGGGAGCTCGAGTTCTCGAGTTCCCAGGGGCTGAAGGCGCCAAGACGGAGGACACTTTCGCTGAGAGGCTGCGGGGTTTATTCGCGGCCACAGATGGTGTCAAGATCGCCAGGCCTACCAAGTGCGCGGAGCTGCGCATCTCGGGCCTGGACGACTCTGTGACGGCCGAAGATGTCCGCGCTGTAATCCGGGAGAAGACGGGGTGCAGCGCGGACAACGTCAGGGTCGGCACCATCCGCCCCGGTCCAGGGGGGCTTGGCGCCGTGTGGGTCAGCTGTCCCGTAGCGTCGGCCAAAGTATTGGCCGACGCCGGCAGGCTGCTCATCGGTTTCGTGAGCGCTAGGATCACAGTCCTGGCGGCGAGACCGATGAGGTGTTACAAATGCCTAGCATCGGGGCACACGCGCGTCAAGTGCCAAAGCTGCTTCGACTGCAGCGGACTATGTTTCCGCTGTGGTCGACCGGGGCATGTGGCGGTGGAATGCTCTGCCGCCCCTCACTGCCCGGTGTGTGAGGCGGGTAACAAGCCCGCCAATCATCAGATGGGGCAGGGGGGCTGCAAGCCTCCCCGCAACTCTCAGCAAGCATCGGGGGCTAGCCAGTCGACCCAGGCTGCCTCCGATGTAGTTCGTGCGTCGACGTCGTCGCCCATGGAGGAGGCTGTAGAGACGATCCAGTAATGGATCGGGTCTCCAGCCTCCTGGTCCAGACGAACCTGAACCACTGTGCCGCGGCGCAGGATCTCTTCCTGCAAACCATGGCACAGTGGTCGATAGGTGTTGCCGTAGTCGCGGAGCCCTATTCGGTCCCTCCCCGTCCAAACTGGATGGGTGACTGGGACGGCTCCGTGGCAGTCGTCGGTTCCACGACGGCTCATTCCCCGCCCTTGTCGCTAAGAGACAAGGGCACTGGATATGTTGCCGTCGAGTGGGGGGGGATCACCATATATGGTGTTTATTTCTCCCCCAACCGGAGTTTGAACGACTTCGAGGTTTTCCTAACCAGCTTGGAGACCTCGATACGGCGACTAGCGTCTGGGCACGTCCTTGTGCTGGGGGACTTCAACGCAAAGTCCATTGCGTGGGGTTCCCCCAGGACGGACGCAAGGGGCGAGGCCGTAGAGGAGTGGGCGGCCTCGGTGGGCCTCTGTCTTCTAAACAGAGGCTCCACCAACACGTGCGTGCGACAGCAGGGGGGGTCGATAGTGGACCTCTCGTTCGCTACCCCTGCCCTCGCCGCACGAGTAAGGAACTGGTGTGTCCTGGAAGAGGTTGAGACGCTCTCGGATCACCTGTATATCCGATTTGAACTCTCCCGGACCCAGGACTCCAGTAGGGGTCACGTGGCACGGCGTTTATCCCGCTTTCCGCGGTGGGCTGTTGCCAGACTGAACCGGGACCTACTAGAGGAGGCAGCCATAATTCACTCGTGGCTGTCTCCTCAGGCTCCGACCGAGGAGGTCGACGTGGGGGCTGGCCGCTTTCGCGATGCGATTACGCATATCTGCGATGCGGCCATGCCCCGCATTCGAGGTCGTCGGCCTCCAAGGAAGGAGGTCTACTGGTGGTCCCAGGAGCTGGCGGACCTCCGTGCGGCCTGTACACGTGCCCGGAGGTCCTACACACGCAGTCGGCGGCGTCACCGTGGAGACGGTGAGGAGGACCGGCTTCATGAGGAGTACCGGCGGGCGCGGAAAACTCTGAAGCTGGCCATTAGCCGCGCCAAAGAGGAAAAGAGACAGGAGATGCTGGAGGGTCTTAATCGTGACCCCTGGGGTCGCCCTTACCGCGCGGTGCGACAAAAGCTCCGCGCGTCGGGCCCCCCCCTTACGGAGACTCTCCAGCCCAGCTTCCTGCAGGAAGTGGTCGAGGGCCTATTCCCGCAGCGGGCAGAGCACACACCCCCGTCGATGGCTGCATCAGCCGGAGACGACGGGGGCAGCGAGGTCGATGTTCCGCCCGTCAGGGAATCGGAGTTGGGGGCGGCTGTTCTACGGATTCGATCCAAGAACACCGCCCCCGGGCCGGACGGGGTTCCAGCCCGAGTGATGGCCCGAGCCCTCGACTACATGTCGGACCACCTCAGGGGGGTGTTGGACGCTAGCCTGGCGTCCGGACGCTTCCCTGAGCGCTGGAAATGCGGGAAGCTGGTCCTGCTGCAGAAGCCGGGACGGCCTGCCGATTCGGTCGCGGCCTATAGGCCCATCGTGCTGCTGGACGAGGCGGGCAAATTGTTTGAGAGGGTTCTTTCTGCCCGCATCGTCCGGCACCTTTGCGAGGTGGGCCCCGATCTGTCGGACGCCCAATTTGGTTTTTCGGGCGGGGCGTTCGACAGTCGACGCTGTGTTGCGCCTGAGGGCCGTGACCGAAGAGGCTGTGAGCTGTGGCGGCGTGCTGTTGGCGGTGTCATTGGACATCGCCAACGCATTCAATAGTCTGCCATTCAGCTGCATCAGGGAAGCACTCCACTATCATGGGGTGCCAAAGTACCTGAGGCGGCTGGTGGCAGACTATTTAGAGGAGCGTACCGTCGTGTACGAGGACCGAGAAGGTAATTTGAGGAGTCGGCCCATGTCGTGCGGTGTTCCACAGGGGTCTGTTCTTGGACCCCTCTTGTGGAACATAGGGTACGACTGGGCCCTTCGCGCCGATTTCCCCCCCGGGCTGGGTGTAATCTGTTACGCAGACGATACCCTCGTGACAGCCCGGGGGGCAAACTTCCAAGAGGCGGCGCGCCTGGCCACAGGGGGAGTCTCCCTGGTGGTCGGGCGCATTGAGGCGCTGGGCTTACGGGTGGCCCTAGATAAGACGGAGGCCCTGTTATTCCATGGGCCCCGTCGTGGTCCACCCCCTGGCGCCTCAATCGTGGTCAACTCGGTCCTCGTACCGGTTCGGGCCCAGATGAAATATCTGGGCCTGATCCTCGACGGGAGGTGGCTCTTCGACGAGCACTTCCGACAGCTTGCTCCAAAGCTGGTCGGCGCTGCGTCTGCCCTAGGGCGACTTTTGCCCAATATGGGTGGACCCAGCGTCGCGACAAGACGGCTGTACACGGGGGTTGTCCGGTCAATGGCACTGTACGGTGCACCGGTGTGGGCGGCGGCTCTGACCGCCCAGAATAGGGTACGCCTCTGGCGCCCTCAGAGGGTAATGGCGGTCAGAGCCATACGCGGTTACCGCACCGTTTCGACGGAGGTGGCATGCGCATTGGCCGGAACTCCCCCGTGGGATTTGGAGGCGGAAGTGCTCGCCGAAGTTTATCGGCGAGTGGCTGACTTCCGGGCGGAGAGCGGATTTCGCCCTCCGCCCGAGGATGTGCGCGAGTGGCGCGAAGCCGCTCGCCGAGCCACGATGGCTCGTTGGTCGTTCCGGCTGGAGACTCCACGCGCTGGCTTCGCCGCCGTGGAGGCTCTCCAGCCGGTCATCGCCGAGTGGGCAGGGCGGCAGCACGGGACCCTTTCCTTCCGACTGACGCAGGTGCTTTCCGGGCACGGTTGCTTCGGAAAGTACCTGCACACGGTCGCTAGGAGGGAACTGAGTCCCGCCTGCCACCACTGCGACTGCAGTGAGGACTCGGCCCAGCACACGCTGGCGGTCTGCCCCGCATGGGCGGCGCAGCGCCGGGCCCTCACTGCAGTCATCGGAGTGGATCTCTCGCTACCGGCCGTAGTACGCTCCATGGCCGGTAGCGACAGTTGTTTTACCGCGGTCGAAACCTTCTGCGAGGTAGTAATCTCGCGGAAGGAGGCGGCGGAGAGGGCCCGGGAGGACGACCTCCACTCGGACCCGATCCGCCGCCGGCGAACCGGGCGGCGGAGGCCCGCCTACCACAGCCTCATGCCGCCCTGAGTGTGGCCGCGGGTGGACGGGGTGGGTTTCCCCTCCACCCGCATTAGTTTGGCCAGCCGCGAGGGGGCGGCGTCCGCGTGTGCCGGACGTCGCCTAAAGAGAGGAAAATACATTGAGACGGAGCCCGCACCAGGAGCGGGCTGGCGCTAGGAGGGGTCCGGATGTCTTAACAACAGCTGTTCCCGGATCCCTCCTGTTACAGGCGCAGAGTGGCACACCGTGTGGTTTTAGTCGGTCCGAGTCCGACACACCACCCCGCCGCAAACCCCGGAGGGGTGACGGTCCGAGGGGATTTCCACACGTTAAAAAAAAAAAAAAAAAAAAAAAAAAAAAAAAAAAAAAAGGGTTTGTTTCAAGTTTTCCTTCTCTTTGCAGTGCTGTTGTCCTGCGTAGTTTGCTCCCTTAGTCGGATCTTATGACACCCACGGGACGAATAGGGGTGGTTTCATTCCGTATTCTTAATCCGTCACCACACGGACTAAATAAACAATATAAAATATAAACCGATACTGTATAACGTATAAACTGATACCGTACTGATACCGAGTCCGTGTGGTGACGACACGGACTAAATAAACAATATAAAATATAAACCGATACTGTATAACGTATAAACTGATACTGAACTGTATAACGTATAAACTGATAGGTATTACATATTGAATTGGTTGGAAATACCTTGACATATAATAGTGATGATCTGTATAACGCTGATGGCGAAGCTCCTGCAGGGTCCTCGTCGGGTCATGGTGTGTCACAGTCGCATCGTCGTACATTAATCTCTTGCAGCTGTTGATGCTTGCTCAGTGCCTCGACTCACCATCTGGATAAAACAAAGAATGAACTAACTTAACATGGTCACGCAAAACATGGTCACATATAACACACGCCCTCACACACGCTAAAATACCCCAGCACATGCACACGAAAGTGCACTCATATATGCGCTCACGCTCGCACGGGCGGAATACTAAGATTTTAGTAGTCAGCTACTTAAAAATTATCTCTTTTTACCGTGGGAGAGCCATGCTACGGGACGAATGGGCCGACTCCACAGGAGTGATATCACGGCCTCACCGAAAACCGGTGTTAAGCAATTATGTCGTTGCCTTTCACTGGGTGAGTGAGGTTACCGGAGACCAAATCCTCTCTCCCGCTGACTTGAGCGAGAGGGACTCCAAAGGCGGCGACGCACTTGTGACTTTTGAGTTGCAGGTGTCCATGGGCGGCGGTAGTTGCTCGTCATCAGATGACCCGTCTGCTCGTTTGCCCCCTTATACCATAAGAAAAACTTCAATCCAAAAATAACACAGTACATCCATTACCAGTACATTACATGTCCTGACAGACTGTCTGATTCATTAAAGCAGAGCCACCTGGGACTGGAAACTTGAAAATTTGGCAGCTGGTGCTTTTTATGTCCAGCAGTGGACTATTAAAGGCTGTTGATGATGATAATGATGATGGTGCTTTTTATGTTTTAAGCACCTACTACGAAAATATTTTATAAAAGAGAAAAGAAATGGAAATAAGGCATACTCACGTGAGTCGGCAATAGCTATTCAGTTATAGTGCTAATTAAAAACAAAGCAATCTGACACTAATTACACCTATACGTTCTCGTTAAGTTTTGCACTGTTCGGTAGTGATACAAACTAATAAATGAGTAACGGCGGTCACTATCAACTAATGAATTATACATACACAGGGATACATACCATGAAATATAATATTTCATGTTTATCACGCTTTGTGAATAAATCTGCAATGAAATGATAACACCCCACAATCATTATTGATACGTGTAAACGGCTAAGTGAATGCGTATTTCTGCTTAAATAATTTTATAGGTAGATACTGTATTTTAGTTTTAAATCGCATCATTTTGCTGTTTTTTTTAATGAGCCATGCCATGAATCTTTGCTTGTGAATTTTAGATTTAGCAAGATTGATATTAATTTAATATAAATATGGCAATGGTATACATATACAACATTAAAAGTAACATACGAGTACAATATGGTTCTCTAGTATATAGAGATTGTCAAACGTTAATTAACATATTATTAAAGTGAATTTAAAACAATTCTAAGTAAACATTTATTGACTATTAAAGATATTCCTGTGTCGCGGGGACTTTATAAACATACATGAAACGGACACTAATAACACCCGGACTCAAAACAACAATTTGTAAATCACACAAAGTGTCGTCCCATGTGGGGTTTGAACCCACAACCGTAGCGACCGCTTAAATCACTACGATATCCGTGCAGTGCGTGCGGGCGTGCAGTCAAAGTGTATTAGGGAAATAACTGTTCATAAAAGATAACCGTTGATTATTGTCACCGCCCCTATTTATCCCGTGGGTGTCGTGAGAGCCGACTAAGGAAGCAATCTACGCATCACAATAGCACTGCAAAGAGAAGGAAAACTTGAAATAAACCCTAAACCAACCCATCTGGCCAGCATGATATAACAGGCCAAAACCTCCTTTCTAAGAAGAGGCTTGGTCTAGGTTCGATTCCCACGGAGGTCCCTCACCCGTAGTCGGCAACGTCACCGCGGGGTCGGTGAGGAGGTGGACCGGCTTCATGAGGATTACCGAGAAGCTCGGAAAACTCTGAGGCTGGCCATCTGCCGCGCCAAAGATGCATGTAGAGAGGAGATGCTGGAGAGTCTCGAGCGTGACCCCTGGGGTCGCCCTTATCGTGCGGTGCGTTTAAAGCTCCGCACGTCGGCCCCCCCCCCCCCTTACGGAGACTCTCCAGCCCAGCTTCCTGCAGGAAGTGGTCGAGGGCCTATTCCCGCAGCGGGCGGAGCACACACCCCCGTCAATGGCTGAATCTGTCTGCAATGCCTGATTGTCAGGGAATCAGAGTTGGGGGCGGCTGTTCTACGGATTCGATCCAAGAACACTGCCCCCGGGCCGGACGGGGTTCCAGCCCGAGTAATGGCCCGAGCCCTCGACTACATGTCGGACCACCTCAGGGGGTGTTGGACGCTAGCCTGGCGTCCGGACGCTTCCCTGAGCGCTGGAAGTGCGGGAAGCTGGTCCTGCTACAGAAGCCGGGACGGCCTACCGATTCGGTCGCGGCCTATAGGCCTATCGTGTTGCTGGACGAGGCCTTTTTGAGAGGGTACTCTCTGCCCGCATTGTCCGGCACCTCTGCGAGGTTGGCTCCGATCTGTCGGACGCCCAATTCGGTTTCCGAGAGGGGCGTTCGACGATCGATGCCGTGATGCGCCTTAGGGCCGTGACCGAGGAGGCCGTGAGCTGCGGCGGAGTGGTGTTTGCGGTGTCCTTGGACATCGCCAACGCCTTCAATAGTCTGCCATTCAGCTGCATCAGGGAAGCGCTCCGCTGCCACGGAGTGCCGGAGTACCTGAGGCGGCTGGAGGCAAACTATCTTGAGGAGCGAACCGTCATGTACATCGTGGTCGGGCGCATTGAGGCGTTGGGATTACGGGTGGCCCTGGATAAGACGGAGGCCCTATTATTTCATGGGCCCCGTCGTGGTCCGCCCGCTGGCGCCTCAATCGAGGTCGGCTCGGTCCTCGTACCGGTCCGGGCCCAGATGAGGTCTGGGCCCGGGTCTGGTCCTAGACGGTAGGTGGCTCTTCGACGAGCACTTCCGACAGCTTGGTCCGAAGCTGGTGGACACTGCCTCCGCCCTAGGGCGACTTTTACCCAATTTGGGCGGGGCCAGTGTTCCCACGAGGCGGCTGTACGCGGGGGTTGTCCGGTCCATGGCGCTTTATGGTGCACCGGTGTGGGTGGCGGCTCTGACCGCCCGAATTATGGCCCGCCTCTGGCGCCCCCAGAGGATATTGGCGGTCAGAGCCATACGCGGATACCGCACGGTGTCCACCGAGGCGGCTTGCGCCTTGGCCGGAACACCCCCGTGGGATTTGGAGGCGGAAGTGCTCGCCGAAGTTTATCGGCGAGTGGCTGACTCCGCCCGAAGACGTGCGCGAGTGGCGCGAAGCCGCTCGCCGAGCCACCATGGTCAGATGGTCGTTCCGGCTGGAGACTCCACGCGCTGGCTTCGCCGCCGTGGATGCTCTCCAGCCGGTCATCGCCGAGTGGGCAGGGCGGCAGCACGGGACCCTTTCCTTCCGGCTGACGCAGGTGCTTTCCGGGCACGGTTGCTTCGGAAAGTACCTGTACTCGGTCGCTAGGAGGGAATCAAGCCCCGCCTGCCACCACTGAGGATTCGGCCCAACACACGCTGGCGGTTTGCCCCGCATGGGCGACGCAGCGCCGGGCCCTCACTGCAGTCATCGGAGTACATCTCTCGCTACCGGCCGTAATTCGCTCCATGGCCGTTAGCGACAGTTGTTTTACCGCGGTCGCAACCTTCTGCGAGGAGGTAATCTCGCAGAAGGAGGCGGAGGAGAAGGCCCGGGAGGACGACCTCCACTCGGACCTGATCCGCCGCCGGCGAACCGGGCGGCGGAGGCGCGCTTACCTGCGCCTCATGCCGCCCTGAGTGTGGCCGCGGGTGGACGGGATGAGTTCTTCCCTCCACCCGCATTAGTTGGCCAGCCGCGAGGGGGCGGCGTCCGCGTGTGCCGGACGCCGCCTAGAGGAGGTCCTTGAGACGGAGCCCGCGCGATAACTACCTGGACCCCTCCTAAACTGGAAGCGCAAAGAGGGCACACCGTGTGGTTTTAGTCGGTTCGAGTCCGACACACCGCCCCGCCGAACGAGAGCCCCGGCGGGGTGACGGTCCGAGGGGATTTCCACACGTAAAAAAAAAAAAAACAAAAAGGTTTGATTCCCACCAAGAACAAATATTTGTGTGATGAGCACGATCGTTTGTTCTGTGTCTGGGTGTAAATTTATTATATTTTTATTGAATCTACAACAAGAAATACACCTTACATGCTAGTTATAAAGCAAATAAAATTGTAAGTCTTATGCTTCCTCAATTATAGGAGACCACAACATGGACATTATAAAAAAAAAAAAACAGTGACCACAAATGGCCTTTGTAAATAAAAAAAAAAGCCGTGTGGTGTCGTGGGACACCCGATAGGAACGAAGTTGTGACGGTCGAGTAAAACTGATTTGACACGATTTTAATTACAACGCCATCTATGAAAGCGGCTATTACCTACATATTAAAAACAATTAAAACAATTTATACATTGGTAAAATCTCCTTGCGAAATGATTTCCTATCTATTCGATAGATGGCGCTGAATGTCTGACAAGATGACACGAAAATAAAGAGCAAAAAGCCAACATCACGTGGTATTCCCAGGCGGTCACCCATCCAAGTACTAACCACGCCCGATGTTGCTTAACTTCGGTGATCGGACGAGAACCGGTGTATTCAACATGGTATGGACGTTGGCGAACCTTAAAGCAAATTTAATGTATGGTATCCACAGTTAGACGTCAATTTATATTAATAAAAAAGTGTCGTTCCAAATTTTCGTACGAATTTTTTCCGTCTAGCCCCCTTTCACAACGCGCGATAAGGAACTTCGTTCCAAAAACCAATGAAAGAATTATAACAATCAATTGTGCAAAAAATTGTAAATCAGCAGCAGTTAAAAATTCAAAATTTAAATAGCAAGGAGGTACGTCAACAATCACACAGTGTTCAATATATGAGTGCGAACATTTTTTTTAATTTACCCAGACTATTAGAAAAAATGTCCATGTCCTCCGAAGAAGCTGAAATGGTGTCATATTCGCGAGTCATCCTAGCAATTGGTGCTTGCTTCCCTAAATTTG